AGTTTCCAGGCCAACACACACTGCGTGGAATTGGCTGACGGCACTCGGTGCAACGGGGTCGCAAAGCACAGAGGAGACGCAGAGGTATATTTGGTTGACGGCACGGGACGGCGCGTCAAAGCAATGCTAAGAAACGCGCTGTACATCCCAACATATCCACAGGACATTTTCTCTGTGAAAGCAGCCACATCGAATGGAGCGACGGTGATCTTCAAAGAAGGGGAGCAGGGAAGAACGTTCTGCTACATAGTGACGGTACCAAATTCCCCATACATGTGCACGACAAACTGTACTATTTGCACACAATAGACAATGAAGGTGTTGAACAATGTAAGAGGTGTTATGATTTGCAGACATGGCATGAAATATTAGGGCACTGCAATCATGGGGATATAATTAAATTGGAGGAAGTTGTTGACGGTGTGCAAATTGCGGGTATGGATAAACCTATCCCACGCTGTGAAATTTGCACACAGGGAAAGTTTATTCAAACTAGGAACAGAGGGCCTGATGCAAGAGCCAAAGCAGCCCTAGAAATGATACATACAGATTTAGCAGGGCCTATAGACCCAGCATCTAGAGAGGGTCATAAGTATGCACTATCTTTCACAGATGTTTACTCCAGTGCAGTGTTTGTTTATTTTTTGAAAAACAAGGGGGATACAGTGACTGCCACAGAAAAATTCCTTGCCGATATGGCTCCATATGGAAAGGTAAAATGCATGAGGTCTGACAACGGTACGGAATTTACAGGAAGGGAGTACCAGGCATTATTAAGCAGAAACTGTATTAGACATGAGACCTCAGCGAGAACTGGAGAACCTTATTTGACATGGCTAGATGCATGTTAATAGTAAGTGGGTTACCAAGAACATTGTAGACGTATGCAGTCCAGACAGCTGCTGTAGTGAGAAACAGATGTTTCAACAATCGCACTAAACAGACAGCTTACTTTATGTTGACAGGTAAACAGCCTAACATTTCAAGGATGCAGAAATTCGGAGTAGCATGCTTCGGAGTGGCATGCTACGCTTACATACATGACAGAGGGAAGTTAGGAAAGTTGGATTCAAGATGTAAGAAGGGTATTTTTGTTGGATACGACAAGAATAGTCCGGCATACATGATTTACTATCCTAACAGCAGGAAGGTACAGAAATGCAGACTAGTGGAGTTTGTATCCAAGAGTACTGAGACTATACTGATAGATGATGAGGATGATGATGGTTTTGAGACCAGAAACAATCCTTTTGTGTGTAATGTACCCCAAACCTACAAAGAAGCTGTAACATCAGTAAATGCAAATGAATGGGTTATAGCTATGGATGAGGAAATGCACTCATTGAGAGAAAACGTTACATTTACCCTGACTAACCTACCTGATGGTAAAGAAGTAGTGGGGGGTAAATGGGTTTATGCAATTAAGAGAAATAGTGATGGATCAGATAAGTACAAAGCACGATACACAAAGTACTCAAGAACCAGTAGTGTATAGTAACCAAACACAACAGGAAGAAGATAAACCTGAAAGGAGAAATCCTGCAAGAGACAGGAAAAGACCAACGTATTTGAGTGACTATGTTTGTGGTATTGAAGGTGATGTGACTAATATTGATTACTGTTACAGACTTGTGTGTAATGTACCCCAAACCTACAAAGAAGCTGTAACATCAGTAAATGCAAATGAATGGGTTAAGGCTATGGATGAGGAAATGCACTCATTGAGAGAAAATGTTACATTTACCCTGACTAACCTACCTGATGGTAAAGAAGTAGTGGGGGGTAAATGGGTCTATGCAATTAAGAAAAATAGTGATGGATCGGATAAGTACAAAGCACGATATGTTGCTAAAGGGTACAGTCAAGAGAAAGGTGTAAACTATGATGAGACTTTTTCTCCAACTGCTAGCATGACTAGTATCAGAGTGTTGATGCAAAAAGCAGTACAAGAAAATTTGATTGTTCATCAGATGGATGTAAAAACAGCATATTTACATGCGCCAATAGAATGTGAGATTTATATAGAACAGCCAGAGGGTTACAAGGTCTTAAACAAACAGTCTGGCAGAAACTGGAACAGAATGTTACACGAATACTATATCATTTTGTGAGGTCAGTAATTAATGAAGGGAGAATTAGTCTGGAGTACTGTCCAACAGAAGATCTGTTTGCAGAAGTACTAACTAAACCAGCAACAAAACTTAAGTTGATGAAATTTAATTTGTTTATGTTCGGTTTATGGACTGGGTATATATGAGCTGTGGAACGAGGGAATAACAATGTGAGAGCAAGTGGGGGTGTTGACGTGGAAATAGTATGCTCTCATTTGTATTTGTATTTTTGTTTTCTGTTTGGGACAGGCAATCCAGATGTCTAATGTGTCATGTCACTAGATGTCATGTGACCTAATCAGTGACTGAAGGAATGCACGTGTTTTTCTGTTCTAATAAAAATGCGCCAGTCAGAGCGACTGAGTGGTTGGTAAAGCTGTATCTTCTGGTCTGTTATTTAGCGTACTCTGTTAACATGTTTATTCCACCCAGGAACTCAGCAGCTGCTTTCACCAGAGGAGGAACCAAGTCATTCCTTTCAAGTCTCAAGTCAAATCCCAAGTCCTCAAAGAGTTAAAGTTAATGAGATAATTAAGTGACTAATTAAATGATGATTGTGCATTAGTGATGAACACCTGCTGTTATTGAGAATTACAGAGGATCAGATGCTGATGTTTTATTGGTTAAAATGATGGCACCATCATGCAGATCAGTGTTTGCT